ACATCATCACCATTAACAAGAACGGGTACGGTATGAACCGGATTTAACTTAAATTAAAGCAATTTATTGTATATAAATTCTTATTTTATCTCAATTTATTTATTTTTTTTTTACCTGCATAAATTCGTTTTGAAATTGTTCGCCTTTAAATAAATCTACAAATTTATACTCTACATCGATATTTAACATTTTTATTAATATTAAACAGCTACGCACTGGGGGACTACGATCATCATAATACAATACTGGCTTCTGCATTGTGTATCTGTAATATAACAAGAAAGTATGAAAAACGAAATAAAATATTTTATAATTCAAAAATAACAGAATAAAACTTTTTTATATATAAACTTTACCCTTCCGTGCTGTAAATTCAACCATATCGAAACTGTTTTCTAAATTTTTATTCCAAAAAATTTAATATAACTTATAATGTTAAATTTGCATGTACGGAATTTGAAAATGTAAATAAATTAATTTAATTAAATTAAAAGATTTAACCCTATTAGCAACCATCAACGTTAATCTTTACGCCTTAACGGCATTAACTTTGTCAAATACTGCATTTTAAACAGGTACCAATGCTAATATTTAACTAATTTATTTAATTAAAATAATGGTTTTTAGAAAAAACCAACATGTGCACCTTCACCTTCTTTATCATAAATGTATGAGAATAAAACTTATATTTTGCAGATCCATGAGACATCTTATTTTTGACAATCTAATACGGCGTTTACACGGCGTTTACATTGGCCGAAAATGGCTCATTTTGAATGAGCCATTTGAAAGTGTTTACATTCGTTCTATTTCATTTGTTCTCATTTCAACATCTAATTTTTCAACTTGCATGTTGATTTGATTTTTGGCCTGTGCCAAAAAAATGTTGCATGAAGGTTAAATATGCCTTCAAACCTTACAATATAAACTGAAAACTTGTTTCTAGATTCGATTTATTTATTTTTGGGAAGTAGAAGTTCCAAAAATTGGTGCATCGTTTTAAAGAAAATGCAACCACCAAACATTTTTTTACCTTTTTTTGTAAATATGTCAAAACAGCTTTTTCAAACTGTCAAAATGCCATGAAGAGCTTTCATTTAGGGTATGTTCAATGGATTCCTTTGCATTTGGAACGTATGTGGAATGCATTCGAACGTCATTCATACAGAATGTGAGAAAATTGCTCATTTTTGTGCTTGAAATTTTATATGCAAGAATGAGCCATTCGATACTCATTTTCGATTTTTGACCAAAATGAGGCATTTTCGGCCAATGTAAACGCCGTATTACATTGGCCGAAAATGGCTCATTTTGGTCAAAAATCGAAAATGAGTATCGAATGGCTCATTCTTGCATATAAAATTCCAAGCACAAAAATGAGCAATTTTCTCACATTCTGTATGAATGACGTTCGAATGCATTCCACATACGTTCCAAATGCAAAGGAATCCATTGAACATACCCTAAATGAAAGCTCTTCATGGCATTTTGACAGTTTGAAAAAGCTGTTTTGACATATTTACAAAAAAAGGTAAAAAAAATGTTTGGTGGTTGCATTTTCTTTAAAACGATGCACCAATTTTTGGAACTTCTACTTCCCAAAAATAAATAAATCGAATCTAGAAACAAGTTTTCAGTTTATATTGTAAGGTTTGAAGGCATATTTAACCTTCATGCAACATTTTTTTGGCACAGGCCAAAAATCAAATCAACATGCAAGTTGAAAAATTAGATGTTGAAATGAGAACAAATGAAATAGAACGAATGTAAACACTTTCAAATGGCTCATTCAAAATGAGCCATTTTCGGCCAATGTAAACGCCGTATAAGTTTCATTCCTACTTTTATGTCGATATTTTGTAAAAAATATAATATTATAAATTTTATACCATATTATTTAGAAATAAATAAGTTATATTTATACACTTTAATTTTATCGGATATATTTTTATATTTATTATTTAATATTTATACATATATTATATACAAAATATGCATGCAACGTATTTTAACTCCAATTAAATCGTCCAAGAAGTATCGACCTTCACCACAAATGCAAGAATTTATAAATCCACATAAATAATATGCTAAATTTATTATTATTATGATATATATACTTATTGTTTATAAATTATTTACAATACAATTATTTTGTTATTATTAAAATAATGTATATGTGCAATGTATATAATTTAACTGCAATATAGCTGCGATTGGAAATAATTCAAATTTCTACGAAGTATTTACTAAATTTGCTCCACTGTGTGGTAACATAATTCCTTTACCACAAATGCAACAGTTTGTAAATCCGCATGAATGAATGATATTGCTCTATTTACAATTTTTATCATATGCATATATACATATTAATATACACTTATTATTCATAAATTATTTGCAATACTACTTACTTGTATAAAAATGTATAAAAAAGTCTAAACCAACCAAATCTCACAACGTTGAACAGATTACTGTCTGACTGCACAACATATACCGGCTTCTATATGAATTTGAGTTAAAAATGAAGGTTTTATAATATGTACATATTACTCGCGTATATATACAAATATTTCTTCAAACTAACACAAAAATATCCAAATATTTCATTTAATGTCACTTAATATTTACTTTTTGTAGTACACTCGTATAATATTATTTTACTTTGTTTGGTTTTAAACTAAACTAATAATGCAGCACTTACACGTTTCAAATTAAACGAAATCTTTTAATAACAGAAATAATAATAAAACTATTTTATATATAATTTATTACAGTCTTTTAAAGCTTTTTTTAATTAATAGGTATATTATGCGCATAGATAAAGTACCTAAGACCTACATATATTGTTTATGTTTGAATTATATACATATTTACCCGCAAGATGTCGCGCACATTAAATGTCATTGGTTAAAACAGCTGTTTGAGTTAACCTTAAAATATTCTACCACAGTTCATAACAGAGAATTTTTGTGAAGCACTAATATATATATTTAATTGAAAATTAATCCATTATAAATAATTTTAATTAAAAAACACAAAAAATGTTTTTAAGTCGAAGATTTCAATTCATTAATAAGTTAACGAAAAACCGCTACATAAACAGCATTTCTCATGTGAGCATGCAAAAGACGGATGCTACAGCAAATAATGAAGAAATTGAAGTGCCGAATCGTATTCATCGTTCTTCAACAGATATATTATATGCTTTAGCCAGTACTGTTGGTCGAGATCCTACCGCACCACACTATAAATACCACGATGATCCTTTTCTTATACCTGTTTCAAACATGAGCAAACGTACTTATGCTATGGCGCAAGAATCTGGCAGAAAAGCAGCAAAATGGATAAGAGAACAACATAGAGAACTATTTTTGGTAAGAAAATAACTATTAAATACACAATATTAATATTATTATTAATATTAAGCATAATATTGTTTCCAGCATCAAGAAGCACAACCTGCTATTGAAGAATTTGTGCCTAAAATGGTTTTTAATGAGGAGTCTGTGGTAGATAATACAACACTTAACGATCTCATATTGAGATCCCAAGTTACAGATGCAGTATTTGTATATAATTTAATGAAAGAGAAAAACATAGAAGTCACTACAGAATTGAAACAAAGTCTATTGGAATTAATTTGTTTTTACAACAATGTAGAACCACTTCCAGAGGAATTTATTGAAGAACGTTGGTTTAAACAAAATAATGAAACACGCGATCGTAGCCGTAAAACGTGGAAAGATGGAGATTTAGCCGAACAAATTTTTAATGAAATCGAACCAAAGACAACTTCAACTTATGCTGCTATAATTAGAGGCATGGCAAAATATTATCAGGTTTTGTAATAACAAATTTTTCATAAATAACTATTAATGAATTTTTTTCTAGGTTGAGCGTGCATATGCAATGTTTGAGCAGGCTTTAGAAAAACAAATTGATTTAGACACAACTACATTCAATGCAATTTTAGGTGTAACAAATTTCTTAAAAGAAACTGCGGATCAACGTTGGGAACTTTGTCGGCAAGTTTTGCAACAAATGGCGACATTACAAATTAAGCCAAATTTAGGTACCATGAATTCACTGCTGGAATGTTTAACCACATTTGGAAACTACAAGTTTGCACGTAGCTGCGCACTGCAAGTACTTGCTGAATTCAAACTTCTAAATGTACGACCTAGTCTGGGAACTTATTATTACATACTTACCATATTTTGTCGGGACCGCTCACCAGTTTCGCATGTAATTGTCGATATACTAAATGAAATACAGGACAAAGAGTTTTCTATAGAACACCACAAAGATACATATTTTTTTGTAACAGCAATGGATGTATGCCGAAATCATTTACATGACAAATCTATTGCCAGAAAAGTCGATGCACTACTTCATACAGGCAATAACTATAATCTTATTGGTGATTCATTTAAAGAATCTGTTTATTATCGACATTATTTTGCATTACTTTGTCAAACGGAACCTGTTGAGGAATTTATGCAAACATATGATAAATTAGTACCTAATATCTATATTCCCGAGCCAGGTGTTATGGAAGAACTGTTAAAAGCTGTTGAACTGAATGCAGCTATTGAACTCGTTCCCCGCTTATGGTCCGACATGATTATCTTTGATCATCTAGGTCGTGAGAGTTTAATAAATCGTATACTTAACATAATGGTAAGCAATAAGCCAGATATAAGTATTCCTATCCAAGAACAATTACCTCAACAATTCGCCAAAGTAGCGCTTGATATTTACAATAAAATACAAGAAACTCAAGGTCGAGCCAAAAAAATTTCATTTACTGGCCAAATGATTGGTGACATATTAACATTAACAGTACGTGGCGACGATTTTGAAAGTGCTTCACAAATTTTCACAAATATAGATAAAAATCAACATCGTATACCCGGTACACCTTCAGAAACTTCACTGCTAGAATTCGTTAATAGCTGTATTACGCATAAATCACCTTCACAAGCTATTGTTTGCTTACAGTACACAGTAGAAAATAATATGAATGCAGTGGCGATGGCAAAACAAATTCACAATGGATTTACTTTGAATGAAGTGCACTTATCAAAAATAAAATCATTAGTTGGAGATTCATATTTAAGTGATTAAACATAATAATACATTAGTAATATTTATTAATAATTAATATGTGTTATTGCAATAATTTTTACATTTATAAAATATATTTGTTGTTGACAAATACTATCCAATTTAATTTATTTAATTCAATTTTAAATTATCTTTACAACTCGTTGCCAGATTTTGATCTAAAGTAACTATACTCCGTGAGAACCTTTTCTAGTCACGTTATCAAGTCTGATTAGTACTCTGTTAAACTAAACACTTTACCCATATCTAAAAACTATATTTTATAAACTCTATCTGCTATCTTTATTATGAACCACATATTTCAATCACCAAAAGGTAGATCCTTCCAACATCAAGTATATATATATATATATTATTGAGCCAACAACTTAATATGAGTTTATCAGCTTAGAAGATTGTAGGCTAGGTAGCGCTTATTTTTTGAGCTGCAAAGTGAAAACATAAGTAAAAAGTTAAAAAAAATCAATACAAAAATAAAGTGAATACACCTAACAACTTCAAGAAAACTAATTAAGAAAACTGATTAAGGGTATTATTTGAAAACATCAAAACGTATTAAAAAAAATATCTTAATGTTATATTTTTTTTCCCAAGAGTGACGCATCTTTATGACGAAAAGAAACTATCTATTTAAAAGTTAGACGGATTCGAATAGAAAAGAAACGACAAAGACAAATATTTAGTTAATTTATTGAAATTTGGTTGACCTTACAACGCTGTTTCGAGAATTGCCCAGTACTTATCAGTATCATCAATGGGTTTAGGAAATATTCGAATTTTTTTTAATTAGTTTGTAGTCGTTTCGACTGCAAGTGCCAGACTTAGAACTCAGGCCTGTCAAATTAGAAGCGACGACTAGTCGTGTTTTTTCGCAAGTAGCCAAGGCTACACAAATTTTCAATGCTTCAGGTTTTTTATTTAATTAGTGACACTAACCAAAGCATAAATATCTTAACTTCACATCATTTAAATTTCAAAACGCATTTATTTCTTTTAATGTACTTGTATTGAAATGTGTCCATAGAAAAAGATATTAATTATATTTTTGTCGTGATAACAATCCACAATAATTCTTAAAAATATTTTGATAAAGTTACTAAATTAAAATATATAATATTCTTTGGTATATGAAATGTATAATATATTAACAATAAATACATTTATGAATTAATTTGTAAACATTTACAAATGCTTTTTAATAAAAAAAAAATTTCCTATAAATATTATAAATAAATTTGTGTAAAAATGGCATAAATTTTTTTGTTTTAAAAAATGATTCAATACTGCTTTGAGAACCTTAATAAAATGACATGAAAATTGACTAAATGCTATAGTTCATACAATATAAAAAAATTTTTTTTATTTAACGATTTTTTACTGATTGCTGTAATATTGTTTCCCAGTGTATCCCATCATGCGGTAATGGACTATATATAAATGGTGAAATCCAAACAAGATGCATTCGTTTACCCAATACCATTTCTAAATTCTGCTTCCAACCAAGATCGTATTTAGGGGATGTACGCTCATAAGCCACAGCACCTTTGAGAATGCTTGGTATATGGTATATTAGTAATACCAAAGAAAATGCAAATGTAATTATGTTCAACACATAAATAAGTAAATAAAAATTAGCCCATGAATAATTAAACGTTAGCATAAACATTGGTAAAATTATTTTTAAAATTGTACTGGCATTGGCATAAGTATCAGCGTGTAACCACCAGAAATATACACTATTATAACAGGTTGTATAAGCTGAACCAATGACCAAATATATTAAGAAGTATATGAAATAACGATGATTATGATGACCAATACAATATCCAGTAAAAAGACAATGATGATCACGTTTCAATATACAAGTTTTACAACTATGACAATGCCAAGAACGTGGTGGTACAACAGTCTCACATTCTGAACATAATGACCAATATTTCAAATGTTCAGCATTTGTAGGTGGTTTGAGTATTGCATCTAAAAGTGCATATAATTAGTTTATATGTATAATTGTGTTAAAATCGACAAAAGTTAACTTACGCTTGATGCTTGTATCAACAAGCATACATGCAAACATATTTGATAATATATTAAATAGAAGAAATAGACCAGCACACCATGTTAAAATGTAGATTGAACTTCCTTCCGCATGGAATTCTGGTATAACGACGAGTACTTCAAAGAAAAAAGTTATAGGTATAAATGTAGCTATGAGGAAAAAACACGCAATATCAGTTATTTTAGTTGGTAAAATATTTCGCCGTAGTATCATCTTGGATTATTGTATATTTATGAATTTAGTAGTGAACATAGTGATTGGAACGAGTAAAACTGAAACACAAAAAATATTCGCAAATATACGTATATAAAATAATACAGCAAAGCTCACCCTTAAAAAATATTTTTGTTATGAATAGCTTTTCGTATTAAAACATCTATCTAAGTAAGTATTAAGAGTTGTTTTAATGCTCTTACAATCTTCTTTAGGGTCGCTAAAACATCCTTGAAGGAATTTTGATAAGAAGCACTTTTAGCTCACTAAAAGCAGTTTATCATTAATTTTAAAACACATATCTTTCAAACATAATTTAAATACTTTAAAATTAGTTTTAAAGTTTAAGTGCTAGCTATCTTAAAATCAGCAGTTTGGCAACAACCTTAAAAACACTTTATATTTTTATGAGTAAATCTTCTGTATTAAAATTGATTCTAATATCGGTTTTAAAGTATATTTAACAAACATTGTTAATATATCAACAATGACCCAATGAGACTATAGGGATCTATAGGATCGTTGTTATAACTTAACCTAACCTTTCTGAGCTCCTCTTTATTCTTCTGTTTATTCTTTGTAGTTTTGATTTTATTAATAATCTTAGACAAAATAAAAAGAAGCTTTTTAAAACATTTTATAGAACGTAGTCAACAAATTTTTATAAATTATTGAGCATTAATATTGTGAAGGACAATGTTTATATGAAACAACTACTTCTCTTGTTGCTATTATTTCACAGGTTTTTGAGTAGCCTATTTAATTCGCCTATAATAAATGTGAAATTCTGAAATGTATTTGGTTGACCATGTTTACGAATATATGATCAAAATATCGGTATCTACTTTCGTCGTCTAATATGACATCCAAACACACACACATATAAATACACAAAACATTAATCGATTACTTCATTTAAGAACGACGACTTCACCGTACAGCAAGAACTGTCCTATCTTAATTGAGATCAGAATATAGCCATGTGCTAAACAGTTACTTGTCACGTATAAACACATCTATTTCCAATGTGTGCCCAAACTGCAGCTCTAGCTCCCATGACGTAGCCATCCTTTCTCTTACCCCACTACATACACAAACCTCCGTCAAATCGACTTTTGGACGCACGACATTAAAATGACCAGGTTTATAGTAGTCCACAAAATAATAGTACAAAGCGAAAATTAAAAAATATATTTACTAGAAATTTCAGTTCTTCAGATAATATTTTTAAACAATTTCACATTTTAATTTTAATTATTTTGTAATAGTAGAATAACACATTTTGCTTTTGGAATAAAAAATAAACATCATAGAATAAGATTATATAAATGTTACACAAATAACAATTAAAGCTTTTCATAATAATTTCAGTATAGTTTCACTTTCATTTATATTAATTAACATTAAAATAATCTTTACTTGTTTTATATAATAAATAAATTTGCTAAAATGCTATATATACAAAATAAGACGTAATGTGTACTTATATATAAACATTTTTAACGAGGCATGTGTAAAGCAGTGCATCTAAATGTAATTTTTTTCCTTATGCATATATATTTCTAATTGACATCTTTGCTAAGCAATTTTTTATAAAATAAATTACTATCAATTACATTATTTCAATTAATTATTCACAATTCAATACTTATTTTAATACATATATAATTCAAAATAGTTTTTTCTCAATTATAATTAATAAAATACAGTCAGTCTAGAAAATGATTATACACAAGATTTAATATAGAATCAGTTTGTTTTTGGTTTCCATTGTAAGCCGTCGTGTTCCAATTTACTACTTATTAAAGGAGAAATCCACACTAAATGCATTCTTTCACCAAATATAGTTTTCAAATTTTGTTTCCAACCTTCATCATACATATTTGATCCACTATTATAACACACGTCGCCACTCAATACATTACGTCCATGATGTATAAGTAGTGCCAAAGAATATATAAGCGCTAATATATTTAAACTATAAAAAAACAAATACACATCGTTTCGCGAAAATCCTGTTATAACCACCATAAAAGGACCTGACATCTTAAGAACAGTATACCAATTTCTGTACACGTCTCCTTTCAGTACCCATATATAGTATGTGTTATAAGCAAACGCGTATAGTGAACCAAGAAACAAGTAGCACACAAACATTAAGAAATAGCGTTGATTTTTGTGACCTACACAACAGCTCGTGAATGGACAATGGTGGTCTCGTTTTAAAATACAGCATTTGCATATATCACAATGCCAAGAACGTGGTGGTGATATGTTGTTACATTTATCACAATTGTGCCAACCAGCCTCTGTAACTGCGTTTTCCGGTGGCATCACTTTTTTATCTATACAAAAGGTATTGATTAATCACCCGATTCATCACATGCTACTGTTATTGATTAAATAACAAACATTACTTACGATCAACACTCGTATCAGTCATCGCGCAAGCCAACATATTTCCTTTGAGATTGGACATAATAAACATTGCTAACATAAATGTGATATTATGCAGGAATGATCCTTTCATGTGTACAGCAGGCAAAACAACACCCATTTCAAACAAGAACACAATTGGCAGGAAAAGTACAATAACAAAAAGACAAAGTATGTCGGATATACGTCGAGGCAACCATTCCTTTAGTAGTCCGAACATGGTTTAGTTTATTAATTAATATTTATATGTAAAAGAAATTCTAATTATGAAAATTTTAATATTTTAAATTAGCACTTAATTGCAATTAAAAAATATAAACAAAATTTTAGAATGAAATACGAAAATATAACAGACACAAGCGAAAACCGATCACGTGCCGCTTTTTTTACAGTGTGGCAGTAAAGCTCAATTATAAGAAACTGTAAATAAGCAAGCAAATAGAAAAATGTTCTAATATACCAATTTAAAAAAGGCGTATAAAATTGACATTTAATTTTAAGAATACTATGCATTGAAAACTTGCTACTATGTATTTTTTTAAATAAATTTTGTTTTAACTGAATTATTTGGTGACATATCTAACTAATATGGCATTTACACTGGTCTCAAATGGATCATTTCAAATGAATGAGTCATTTGAGAGTGTTCACATTCGTTGTAATTCATTTGTTCTCATTTCATACTGCCGATTTTTTAACTTGCCTGTTGATTTGATTTTTGACCTGTGCCAAAAAAATATTGGATGAAGGTTAAATATACCTTCAAACCTTTCAATATAAACTAAAAACTTATTTTTAGTTTCTATTAATTTATTTTTGGGAAGTAGAAGTGGGAAGAAATGCAACTACCAAGCGTTTGTTTACCTTTTTTTTGTAAATATGTCAAAAACAGCTTTGTCAAACTGGTAAAATGCCATGAAAAACTTTTATATTGGGTATGTTCAATGTATTCATTTGCATTTGGAACATATTTAGAACTCATTTATACAGAATGAGATCCAATGGATCTCAGTTGCGCTTGAGATTTTGTATGCAAAAAACTTTTGTATTTACAGATTCTTTAAAGACAGATGGTAAGTCCGAAAAAGTAATCGACTCTCAAATCAGACATGCATTTCGTGCTGCCAAAAACAGGTACCATAAAGCAAGGAGTTTACAAAAATCTCTACAAATGCGAACTCATTATCCCACATAATGAGATAATAATATTCTTAAAAAGTTTTATGTAAATATTAATTCTATTTTAACGTATTTTATTTTAATTTTTTATATTACTTTTATTTTTTATTATATTTATTATCATTCTTTTTACTTTTTAATTTTTATTTTTAAATTTAATTTTGAGGTTATTTATTAGAAAAGTTGTTATTAGTTTTAATAAAAATAAAATAATTTTTAATTTAACAAATAAATAAATAATAATTTTCAGTATTTTATTTAAAAATAAGTAGAAAAGGTAAAATTGAAAAGGGAAGTGGACGTGTCAGCACTGATATGTTGGATTACAAATCCATATCCTATATATCTTCATTTACAAATGTGCTATTATTTTGCTTTTATACCTATTTTCAAAACTAAAGCTAAATATATAAACAAACAAATTGGGCTAATGTGCGAACAAATCACAATTTTTTATCTGTCAAATCATATAAAACAGCTATCAATATAAGTGTGATCTTGCTACTCTGACAAAATTTCTACAGTGTTATAAATTAATCTCGAGTGTTATAAATTAATCTTAAGTGTTATATCATATTTACATTACGAACTTTGCTAAAGTTGATTCCCAAACTTCAAACGTTTACATTAATGTTTCGTGTTTTCATTGTGACAGTTGCTATATCTGTTCTTTTTATTTCTTTAAATTTTGATACTCCTCAGTATACTGTTTGAAAAATAATCTGTTTTTGTTTACGGATGAATATATTAATATTGTTCAAAATTATGGATCATATTATTATTGCATTCCTCAGCAGCAAATCTGTATAGCAAAATAAGATGCTTCATAATAGACACAATCTTTGTTGTGCCTATTTTTGTATGACACAGTCAGCTTTGGAAACTGATTTTGCTCTCAAAGTCAACTTCAACCAGCAAAGTTTGTGATGTTAGTCCCGTATTACCTGATACTGGGCTAATTCTGATTGCTTATTCAACGTAGAGATTTGTTGGTACAATTTATTTGTGATGTTTTATGTAGGTCTGCTTATTTGTCACAAGCGTAGACTAACCTCCTCGGTCCTGAAGGCTTCCCACAAAAAAAAAATTCTTAAAATCTTTTAGCTTTTGTTTATATGCATTCAAATAAAAAAAATAAATTAATTAGACGATTTACAGCAAAAGGTGCACTAAAATAACAAACACGAAACTATTAGTGAGCTGTACAGATGGATATATAGTAGTAAAACCTTCACAAAGCTTCAAAAAAGGCAGTAGAAAAGTGTCCAGCCGGCTGCACGCCAGGACCGAAGAGGCTAAAAAAAAGTCTATTGATGTTGATGTAGCTCATAGTTATAGCTTTTGTGATACAAGAAAAACGCAGTAGTAATGTTTATATAGTAAGAGTATTATAGAAACTTTTGGTTGTTTAGTAGTGGTCATCATCCACATCATTGAACTGGACAGGAACTGAACATCACTGCTCTATAACTTATATAGCATTAATTTTCTATTTAATGACTAAATCGTTTAATTGGAATATTTAAGCATCGATTTTGAGCTTACGGAGCTTGCATACGAGTTTTCACATAAACTTAACTTTACTTGATAGATTTGCTTTAAATATAATTTAAAATATATTCACACATAAGTACTTTTTTTCGAGTACAATTTTATCTATTTGTAACAAACAGTTACATGTGATGTCAAATTTGTTACACTTGCATCAGTTTCATTATAGTAACATATCGATAATACTGATCGATAATTAATTGTTTACATTACAGAGACTGAACCAGCGAACACGGAATAAAAACAGAAAACAAAAATAAATAGCTAAAATTGGAAAATTGAATTTGAATAGATTTAGGATTTTTTAAAATGGATATAAGTAAATTACTTGGTATGTGTGTTTACCAAAATAATCACACGCTGGTAATGTTGCAACAAATTATACAAGCAAATAAATGTATTATTATGGAAAAAAACGGCAAAATTACTGCAAGTCTACCCTACGTAATAAAATTGCTATGGTTTACTCAATTCTGAATACGCAAAATATACAAAGGCCAAAAAAAATTTGGACGTTAGTAAGTACCAGTTTTTTTAATATAAAAATTAATAAAGTAAACGTATAATTTCAGAAACGTTATGGTCGATTTTGGGAACAGAATGTGCCGTACTTCAGTGATAAACTGTTTAAAGAAAGCTTTAGAACAGACCGTAATTGCTTCAAAAGACTTGTGGAAATGCTACCAAATTTAAGAAAAATGAACACAACATTTCGTGAAACTATTCCATTGGAAAAACGTATTGCAATCGCCCTGTACGTTCTGGGCTCTTCAACAGAATATAGGAAAGTAGGTGCATTATTTGGGGTCTCCAAACCGACTGTGTGTTTAATTCTGAATGAATTTTGCAAAGGAGTATGGCAAGCCCTAGCTCCAGAATATCTTCCAGATAATTTTTTGAATCAAGAAAAACTGGAGGAATGTGTAAAAGGTTTTGATATTATTGGTTTTCCTCAGTGCTTTGGAGCGGTTGGTAAAGTAAAAATAAATTTATGAAATATATTTTATTAATGAATTTTTTGTAGATGGCTGTCACATTGAGATGAAGCCAAAGACAGGAGAAGCTTTTGACTACCATAACTCTGAAGGTTGGAATTCAGTTGTGCTATTTGCCCTTGTGGATTATAGGTAAAATCAGTTAAACTTGATAAAAAAAAACATACAAATTTTACACTTGTAATATTTATAGGTGCAGATTTTTATATGTTAATGTGGGAAGTCCTGGCCGACACAATGATTCTCAAATTTATGAGACATCAGACCTTAAAAATGTTGTGTCATCAACATTGTTATTTAAAAAAAACGCTAGAAAAATTGGAAAAACCGTGGTCCCTGTTATGCTTATTGGAGATTCAGCATTTCCTTTTTCGGAGACGTTGATGAAACCATATCCTTTTGAAACAGCAACAAGCGAAGAGCAAAAAACATTTAACAACACGTTGTACAAGGCTCGACGAGTTGTTGATAATGCATTTATACATGTAAAAGCGCGTTTTGCAAGAATTGGAAAAGGCTTGGACAATCATCCATCAAATATAAGTACCATTATAAAATGTTGTTGTGTTCTCCACAACTTTTTAAATACACACAATAGTAAAATTACACGTCAGTGGCTAGTAGAGGCAGCGAAATATAACAAACCTCAACCGAAATATGTAACCACAATCGACGACTTCAAAAAAACACCAGAAAGAATTCGTAATTCCATAGCTGTACATTTAAGTAAGTGTACTAGTTAAAATGAATATAACATTAAAATTAGAACTGAATTTTAACATTAGAATTAGAACTGAATTTTAACATTCTAAGATTGTTTTATTTTAAATTTAGTATATATTAATAGTTTTTATATACAAATATTCAGTTTTATTTTAACTTAAAAATAAAGTTCTACAATTTAATTAACTTAGTTACTTATAATATTAACAAAAAAAAATGCTAACTGTTGGTTCTCATTTTTTTTTAAACAATTTTAAAATATTTGCTTGAAATTGCTCAGTGGAAGCAGCTATACCCTGAAGAATATCGATTTGCTGCTCTATCAGTGCAGTTTGTTTTCTCGAATTCAAAATGTCTTTTTCTTTTAATACTAAATCTTTTTCTGCAATGCTATTAGCTTTATTAAGCGCATTTATGAGTTCCTCTTGTTGATCTCTAACCTTCTTTTTATTTCTAGATTCGGCTCTGATGGACGCTGATGAAACTCCATGATGTGAGCTTTGCAGACTGATATCCTGATTCTCGCCTTTTAAAAATAATTATGTTATAACATATAATAATTATGTTTATTATAATAAAATACAAAATTAAAATATATACCTGTATTCTTTTTCACTAATGGCGTCAGGTTTTGTCGCTCTAAAATGGAATGTACCTTTGAATAATGCATCCAAGCGGAAGGTGTACTATCACATGATTCCAATTTCTTTTTTTCATCACTATAAAATTATCAAT